TAGGCCAAAAACAAGCACTTAGAGAACAATGTTCGAATACAACTGTAACATACATTTTAATGCGAAAGACAAGAAAAATAAACAATACTCGAAAATCTACATAATATCTGTTGGTTATCTCAAATATAATTTATGTTATCGATTTAATATATAAAACCAACCATTCTTTATATTTCAATTCGAAGAAACTTTGTAAAAAAACGACTATTCCTTTGGTCATATATGGTTTTGTCGAAGAAAATTTTATCGAACAAATTGACATTCACAAAAACAAAAGGTATTCAAACTTGTCAAAATAACTTTGTTATTTCCGGGTTAATATCAATCATGTTGAGACTAAGAAAAAATATAAACAAGATATTTTGACGTCAGATCGTCAAATTCGATTAAATCATCTAATGAATCATATAGAAAAATTTAATCATATAAAAACATGTTTTAATTATCTTTCAACAATATCATCGAAGAAAATCTTTTTTATTCTTGCTAGTTCATCATTTGAAAATCTTATTCCAATTATAGATGAAAACGAACAAATTTAATTCATTTATATTTATTATTTCTACAAAGATAAGCATGTCGAATGGATTAAGAATGATCTTATCAATAAATGTAAATTAAAGTATCATGATAATCAAATGAAATTGAAGAAAATTGATGAGTTTGAAAAATATTATCCATCAACAAAGGCTATTGAATGGTACACACGTGACTCATTTCTTTATCGATTATTAAATCAAAATTTTTGTTTACAAGATATTGATATAGTTTTTAAATTTCGTTGTATTATTAAAGAGATTTATAATCAATTAAATAAACTACATGAAAATTTTATATGTTTATCTAAGTCAAACAATGTTTAGAGATGAATTCGATAATTTACAGCAAAATATTGGTGACTTTATTTCAATAAATTCATTTTTTTCTGCAACAACAATAAGTGCACTTGCACTTTCATTTGCTGACGATGGTTCAGGACATCCACTTGTTGAATCAGTTTTATTTGAAATTGAAATTGATACTACAAATATGGCTAAACCTTTTGCTAATATTTAAACAATAAGTTATTTGAAAACTGAAAATGAAGTTCTATTCTCTGTAGGCAATATTTTTCAAATTGAAAGTATTGAACCGTTAGATGAAACAATATGGATTGTTAAATTGATTTTAACGAGTAAAAATGAACAATTAAGTCAACTAAGCACTGTTACATTAAGTGATAGTCCGTTTTTTTGTATTTCTTAGACACCTTGATGCTAAAAGTAATCGTTAGTACCAATTTATTGATATTCATCGTAGACTTTTCATGCGTTTACTGCCTTTGCTGTTAACTTCATCGATCAGCAATTTAGCATTTTTTTCATGGTTCAGTGATCTTCTTCAATAGGAAAATGATTAACCTTTTCTAAAAATATATGTATCAAATTCTAATTTATTTAGTATAATGCTTAAGCAAAAAAATTTAATTATTTTATTTCGGCTAGGGCTGCGAGGTATTTTTAATGAGAATTTTCTCCGTTAGTCAAACACAAGTTAGATTTTTATATACATAAGTATTTCAGACCTATTAGGAAAGCTCTCGAAGTGATTAAAAGTGTTTGGTCCTATATTTAGTCCATAAGTAGGAGAGTGATAGACTAGAAAAACTCGAAGAGGATATAGGTCCTTGTTGCCATTTGGGTCAGATATAGAAGTTTTACTGAAATTTCCTAATAGAATCATGTTATTTTCCAGTAAAATCGTGTTTTCGAATTTTGACCTGAAACTTTGTCCACATGAAGGCTTCAGCTAGGCTAGTTCGGAAAAAAATTTTCGCATTTTTTTGAACCTAATATAGTCGAGCTATTAATTCCTCAGAATATAGACACTTTTTCATATATATTGTATAAAACACAATCTAGCCTAGCTGAAGCCTTCATATTTTTAATCCATTCGGGAGCTTTCCTTGTTAGATCTGACACTCCTGATTGAACGATTGTTGAGATGCAATGGTAAAATAAAAAAGTAGAATTAAATTTACATGTAAATCGGTTTTCTAAACATGATAATTTAATTAATATAAAAATGAAGTTACTTGAACGACACATATCACTTGAAATAATTGTTTGTTGCTTTGATGAAGCATTCATAACTATTAAATTTAAATGATATGTTTTATGTTTGTATTAAACTGAGATTGAGTTTTTGCTGATGTGTCTTATTCTAGTTGGGGTTTGCAATGTCGGTAGACGCGTTAAAATGCTAACAATGATGTCAGCGACGATCTAGGTATGGGTGTGCAGGTGTAAGTATAGTTTTTCTCCCAGCCTTCATCAGAAAACCCGTACTCACATTCAAATCCATACCCACAACGATCGATGGAAAACCACGAAAAGAACGTCCATGTAGAGAATGGCTGGACGACATCAAAGACTGATGTGGATACAGCAGACAAGACTTGTTCCATCTGGCACAAGACCGATGGATATAGAAGAAGTTAATCTGTACGGTGGTTGGTTCCAGCAGGCGATAAGCCTACGGAACATCATGAATCATGATAGCTACAATCTTAGTTCAATATTATAAAATCAAGCTTATACGATATCTCCTGATGAAGTTTAATTTTAAAATAACTAATTTTGAATTATCTACAGCTTCTAAAAAATGAACAGAAAATAATGACTAGCACTAACAAAAGTATTCACATATGTCATTCTTTTCCGTTTCATTATACACTTTGTTGTGTTGATGGTTAAGGTAACTGTAACTATTTGATGGGCTGGACTGCAATGGCATGTATCTTCGAAGAGGTATAGAACAAACACTGTGAGTCCATGACACAACATCGCTCGTAGGAATGGCTTGTGATAGCCTAGCAATCAAATATATTTGGCTTTTCCAATCACTCTACTTAGCCAATCGATTGATCGTTGAGTTTGAAAAGAATGCTGCACTTGACTTCGCATGTTTCTAGACAAAAAAAAATGTCCTGCATTATTCTCTGATATAGTCATTATTAAAATAATTACCGGTTGAAAATCTTCCAAAATGGCTAATATCTCATCATTACAGACTAGGAAAGATTTGATGAAAGCTTGAGATTATTACACAAATTTGGCGAAGCGATCATATTCAACTAATACCGACACACATCATATAGAAAAATTATCTTACTTTCACTGCAACCTTTCTTTAAAGTATATTCTATATCATCGTATCGGTGATGGTGCCAAAGGTTGTCTTTTTGAGGTAGATGAGTTACTAAATGCTTTTAAATTCAACGATCTTAATAGATTTAGGTGTGAATCAGATATAAACAAATGTAGGTGTGAATCAGATATAAACAAATGTGGGTGTGAATGTGAATGTGGGCAAAGAAAAGTGGGGCACGCACACCCAAACATACCCACACCCTCATTTCATGATATGCAGTAGCTTATGTTTTATGAGATCGAAACAGTCGAACACACACATGGTAGTATGCATAGATTTCTGCGACCCGAAAAAGTCTTAAAACATACTATTATTTACGTTGTAACGCTGTAGAAAGGTAACTGATTGCGGCTATTCATCACGAGTTCCACCTATGAGTTGAAATCGATAAGGAGTAGTAAATGTGAACAGGTTTCAAAAAGCGGAGTGTCTAAACGTTACAGACTCTTAGCATAGTTTAAAAAGGATAATGTTAACGTCCAATTTTTCTGAACATAACAGGTTGTTAATCGCGGTTTCCGACTGTGAGTCAGAAACTGGAGGAAATAGTAAATGTGAAATTGTTTCAAAGAACGTGTCATTTAAACGTTAAGCATTTTCAACATAGTGGAAAAAGGGTCATGTTAACGTCCATTTTCTCTGATCGTGACTGGTTGTGAATCGCGGTTTCCGACTGTGGGTCTAAAACAGGAATGAAAACTAAATCCTAATCTATTTCATAAAATGAACCGTTTAAATATTAAATATTTTCACCATAGTGAAAAAACAAGATCGTCTTGACGTCCAGTTTTTCTGACAGTGACCGATTTCCAATCGTGGTTCCCGATTGTGAGTAGTTAATGTTTAGAGGAAGTGATTGTGAAAATGATCATATCTTAGCGCAGTGAACATACTTAAATTTTATTCAGCGCGCAAAAGTGTCCGTTTTACGCCCACTTATATTGGTGGTTACTGACACACAGCCGGAAATCTCGATTGTCAGCCAGACACGGTCGAAAAGTTCTGCGCGTTTAAACGCGTTTTTCCATTTTTCTGTCTGCCTGAGTAGTTCTCTTCGGCATTGTCACGCAACTGTACACGTATGCATCACCATAGATGCAATTCATCGTAAGAGGTAGGGATTCGAGTCTATTCTTTTTCTATCTTGAGCATTCACACCTAGCGTCTACATACAAGCATTAACTTCTGAATTTTCATGTAGAAAACGTTTCAAATACAATTGATTTTATAAGCAATTATCATTAATTCATCTATTGAACTATTTTGGCGTTAATAAAAACGTTTTAGATAGTTTTTGAAAATTTCCACTTGTAACATTTCATCTCAATGTTCAGCTTGTATTAAGCATAATTGCATGACGTATATGTATATATACTCGGCTTATGAGGAAATTCGTTTTTGCAAAAAGAATTAAATAATATTCATGGAATATTCCTATGTACATTGATTTGCATACATGCAAAAGAGAAAATCGACCATTTTATTTACGTGACAAAACAGAAGACGAAAAACTTCTATCGAAGTTTATTCATGTCTCTAAAGGCAATGTATCAATGTCAATACTACTTTGATTGTTATCAGTTGCATTCTTTCTTTATCTACAACATGTGACAAACACAAGAGAAAGAAATTACGAGACAGTATGTCTGTTCTCACACTTGCAGCGTTTATTCTAGTAGCATTTGTTGAAGCTACTGGTGGTTCATGCATATACAATGGCAAGCCTGGTATATATCGTTCTTTCATTTAAGATATAAAAATGAAATACTTGTCCCTTTAGGCATTTCTTGCGGCTCTATCTATTCTTTCAAATGGTGCTGTTCAAGTAAGTTCGACATTATATTTCAATGCGTCTATGTTAATTCAAAAAATTTAATTTGAAAGAAGTGGACACTTGCGGCAGTTCATTTGGGACGTGTGTGAGTAGTCAGTTGCCTACATTGGCCGTTATTCTTATAGTCATCTTGGCTCCCATGTTTATTATTATTTGTTGTGTCGTGTGTATTATCATAAACACCAAGAATTCACATCGAGTATCCGACATGCCAACGAATGTTCAACCTTTTGCGATTACTCAGTCTCGAACATCATTTCGAGGTCAATCGCCGCCACCACCATTTAGAGAAGATTTGCCACCCAGCTATGAGATGGCAGTGGTTAATAGTTCACAAAAGGCTAACATGCAACTGCCAACTGACACGCTAGATGAATTGAACAATTAATGTCTTTCATACGATAAGAATCGAAATGTTTGGAAAAAGTTATTTTTTTAAATTTCTTGTAAACAGGCAAGCGTGCATGGCATGATCTAAATGATTTTTGAATGTTGCACGTTGAGGGAAAAAAGAAGATGTAAAGTTTTGAAGAGTTCATAAATAGTGACACAATTTAATAGTATTGCCCAAGCAGACAACAATTTCAAAAAACGCGTTTAAACGCACAATCGGGAACCGCGACTGTGATCCATTCACGCGCATTAAAAAAACGCAAGAAACGACGTTTTTTGTGCAAAATAGTCCATTTTCAAGCGTGAAAACGTCAAAAATATAAAAAACTGAGCGTTTAAACATGTCGTTTTTTAAATCTAGAAAAAGAGAACGTTTTAACACTAGAAATTTAAGTTTTCCACCGTTTTCACGCTTGAAAAGTGACTATTTTGTACAAAAAACGTCGTTTCTTGCGTTTTTTTAATGAGCGTGAATGGATCACAGTCGCGGTTTCCGATTGTGCGTTTAAACGCGTTTTTCGAAAGTTTTGTCTGCCTGGGTGGTACATAGCGATCTAATTTTATATCGATAAAAATTGTCCGCACGTCATTATCTGACGGTAATCTTTTAATTATTTCTTCTACCTATTATGTTATG